ATAGTTTTTTTGTGCAAGTTTTAAACATATAGATATATATGTATAATATACAGGATGTTCATACTAAAGTGACACAGTTCAATTAATCCATGATCATAGAAAATACAGAAACTTGATTGATCGATAATTGAATGGACACAGTGTAATCGACTGTATCACTTCAACGTGGACACACTGCAGATTTATTGATACTAACTTCATTTGCTGTATTATGTGTTCCAATGATACGTATATAAACAACAGGACGAGGAGGTTCAAAGCGTATGGTTTGCCAGGAACGACAAGCTTCTCTAGTTTTATCAGCAACGAGAACCCAATTCCAAGAATTACCTGACACCTCTATGTAATAAGAATAGGCTCGATCATCACAATCCCAAAGCAGTAATCTGTATAAGCAGAGTACTATGAGTGAACTTCATAGTTTCTTAATTTATTTAATATACTATTTAACGTAATATGTATGATGTATATATATACCGCATAGAGTCTATAATGTATGGTTGTCCTAGTTGTACTAAAATAGATCCAGATCCAACTTGATGACAAGTATATCCGCTATCCAAACCATAATTTGATGTGTCACCATTTAATAGAGTGTTCCGAGATCTAAATTTGAAGAAATTTATTATAAAATCAAAGTTAGAATTATATTTATGTACACTAATATACAAACCTACAAACGCCTTCAGTAACAGTTGCACTCTGATCCATAGTAGCCACGTTCCGAGTTGGAATAACGAAACCATTACAATGCTTCTCTGAATGATTCGTATAATAAGCTTCAAAACTTACAAGATGGAAAACCTTTTGATCAAAATAGAAAATGAACGTTACAGAACAGAACATAGGAATCTAAATAGTGTAAATTTATTTCTGTAGCAAAAATTTTACTTTGTTCACAGTATTATTCGTTCCAACAATACGGATGTAATGAACTATTCTCGGTTCAAAATATAAATATTGCCAGCTGCGACAAAAGTAGTCCGTGTAGTCAATAACTCGTACCCAATTCTTTCGATCCATACACACCTGTGAAATAAGAATATGTAGATTGAAAATAATAGAAAAAAGTGGAAATAAAAATTGTACATAGAAATCAAAGTCATATTCTTGCAACTTACTTCTACATAGTAAGAATAGGAG